GTGAAACACTCCTTTAATGGGGCTAAACTGCTGTAGGCTGAATGGGCGGGGCTAAACTGCTGTAGCTGAATGGGTGGAGCTAAACAGCTGTAGCTGAATGGGTGGAGCTAAACTGCTGTAGGCTGAATGGGCGGGGCTAAACTGCTGTAGGCTGAGTGGGCGGGGCTAAACTGCTGTAGGCTGAATGGGTGGAGCTAAACTGCTGTAGGCTGAATGTGTATACATGCTGTGTTTTTTGTGACATCACAGAAACAGTGAGGGTTGTGCAGAGTTAGTTTCTGAAACCAAACTGAAAAACTCACTAAAGGATATTTTATTCTGTTAAATTTGTACAGTGGAGTAAAATGGTGTTGAGTAAGATGTTTATGGGCGGCGCTCTCGCTGTGGCACCGTGTGTCCGGTGTGCGGAGGCTGCAGTAGTCATAAAGAGGCTCGATCAAACTGGGAAACACGCCCCTTAAACTTTATAGATATTGTATTTTAGTGAAAAATTAAACCATATTCATGTTTATGTATCTGTGTTGATTTCTGAGTCCTTATAAAAGCTAAAGAGCACAAAGGCTGCAGTAGCCCCGCCCTCTTTTGAGTAACAGCCTGGGCCTCTGATGCCGGTCTCCGGCGGTGTCACTGTGTGTCGACCCCCTCCCTCAGGAAAAGAGCTGCATGTTATCGTGAGTGCTGACTGTGTGAAGTGGCCTTGTGTATAAATTAAACTTATTACTGTTATTATTATTACTGTTATTGTTTTAATTGTTATTACGGTGGCGCCCCCGGTCATACGAAGGGGGTCATGACTGCGTTGGAGTGGCGCAGGCTCTGGATGGCGGCATACGGGCCCTGCTGGAAGTAGTGGTGGTAGCGGGGCATGTGGAAGGAGGGGAAGGTCGGCCCACTGGCCTGCATGGACCCAGCCAGAGCGGAAGGGGTGAGGGGCACGCCCAGCCGGCCGTAGTGGGGCAGTGAGCTCTGGATGGGGGGCAGGGGACCGGCCAGGCCGCCGCCGCCGGAGCTCAGAGCCGACAGGGACTGAGGGGGCTGGAAACCCGAAAATCCGGAGGTGGAGGAAACCCAGGAGCTCAGAGAGAGGTTATCTGAGGCTGTGAACGCAGAACCTGCATAGAACACACAGAATAAAGATGCTCGGTCAGTTATTAATAACTACATTAATAACAACAGCTTCATACTGACCTCACTCACACACTCACACACACACCTGACCCAGACTCATCATCATCATCATCAGGAACAGCTTCTGATCTAAAACACTAACACTGATGACGGTGGAGGAGTTTAAGTCTAAATCAGGTTTTTCATGTTGTGACTGTGGTGAAAAATTACATAATAAAAATATAGATTTGAATGTGTGTCTGAAATCACCTGCCATAAGAACTGTTTCTGTTATTCATGTGTTTGTGTGTGTGTGTGTCCTCACCCCAGTTGTGTGTGGAGTGTGTGTATAATGTGCATAGTGTGTGTGTAGTGTGTAATGTGTGTGTGTGTGTGTCTTCACCCCAGTTGTGTGTATAGTGTATGTGTGGGTGTCCTCACCCCGCCTGAGGTGGGTGTAGATGTGTGTATGTGTATAGTGTGTGTGTGTGTGTGTGTGTGTGTGTCCTCACCCCAGATGTGTGTGTGTGTATAGTGTGTGTGTGTGCATAGTGTGTGTATAGTCTGTGTGTGTTTGTGTATATAGTGTGTGTGTATATAGTGTGTGTATAGCATGTGTGCGTAGTGTGTATAATGTGAATGTGTTTGTGCGTGTGTCTTCACCTCGGCTATGTGTGTCCTCTCACTGGTGGTGTGTGTGTGTGTGCGAGTGTGTGTGTGTCCTCACCCTGGTGGTGTGTGTGTGTGTGCGAGTGTGTGTGTGTCCTCACCTTGGTGGTGTGTGTGTGTGTGCGAGTGTGTGTGTGTCCTCACACTAGCGGGTGTGTGTGTGTGTGTGAGTGTGTGTGTATCCTCACCTTGGTGGTGTGTGTGTGTGTGCGAGTGTGTGTGTGTCCTCACCCTGGCGGGTGTGTGTGTGTGTGTGTGAGTGTGTGTGTATCCTCACCCTGGTGGTGTGTGTGTGTGTGCGAGTGTGTGTGTGTCCTCACCCTGGCGGTGTGTGTGTGTGTGTGTCCTCACTGGGGGTGTGTGTGTGTGTGAGTGTGTGTGTGTCCTCACCCTGGCGGTGTGTGTGTGTGTGTGTCCTCACACTGGCGGTGTGTGTGTGTGTGTGTGAGTGTGTGTGTGTCCTCACCCTGGTGGTGTGTGTGTGTGTGCAAGTGTGTGTGTGTGCGAGTGTCTGTGTGTCCTCACCCTGGTGGTGTGTGTGTGTGTGTGAGTGTGTGTGTCCTCACCCCGGCTGTGTGTGGAGTGTGTGTCGTCTCCCAGACTCTCCTCCTCGGTGCTGTAGGTCCGTATAGGAGAGCGAGCGTACGAGTGTTTGTGGATCAGGTTCTCCACACTCTCCCTACAGTACAGCAAACAATAACAAACAAAAATAAACACCAACAAACAACAGTAAACACTAACAAACAAAAATAAACACCAACAAACAAAAATAAACACCACTAAACAGGTGCCCGAGTGTGCGAGCTGCGCTGTTTCAGGTGGTCTGGACGGTGTGAACAGTGTAAATAAGACACTGGTGAACAGGAAGTGAACTGAAGCGTGTGAGTGAGTGTGTGATGTTTAGGTGAGGAGTTAGCACCGTGCTAATCGGTGGGTATCAGAGTCAATTACTTGTTAGCTACATTAGCCTCGCAGCTCCAGCGCTAAAAACTAATGAAGCAAACTGTAGACACTGCACCCGTCTGTCTGAGGGGCTGATTTGGGGTGGGGGTGGAATTAGATTTTTCCTGAACTGTCCCTTTAACAGACAGCTCTGCGCGTCTGCGCTGCGTGTAGCTGCGCTGCTGTAAGTGCATTAGCCGTGTTAGCTGGGCTGCGAGCTCGGCTCTGAGTCACAGCGGCCCTGCGTCCGCATCACGGCACAATTCAGTTACTGAAGTGCAATATCTGTCAGCGGCGCAATACAAATCTGTGTGTTTTTATCTGCGGCGTGATAGGGGCGACGGGGGGGGCCGGGGGGGCCGGGGGAGCCGGGGGCGGCTGGTTTCAATCAGTCACCCAAACCAATCAGATTACAGTGTGTTTTAGTGCACTGCCTGACTCCAGACTAATGTGATTTCTGCAGCTCCCTGAAGATCAATTGATCAGATCTAATTCACAACCTTCTAAGGAGAGAGAGACAGAGAGAGAGAGAGAGAGAGAGAGAGAGAGAGAAGAGAGAGAGAGAGAGAAAGAGAAAGAGTGAGAGAGGAAAAAGGGAGAGAGAGACAGATAAAGAGTGAGAGGAGAAAGAGAGAGAGAGAGGTGAAGAGACAGTGAGAGAGAGGAGAAAGAGAGAGAAGAAAGAGAGAGAGACGAGAAAGAGATAAAGATAGTGAGAGAAGAGAGAGAGAGAGGGAAGAGAGAGAGAGAGAGAGAGAGAGAGAGAGAGAGAGAATGTGAAATGTTTCTGTTGGTTTTTTTTTTTTTCTCAGATTATCAGAAAGGAAGCCTCTGTGTGTCTCCAGGCTCCGCCCACAAATCTGCTGTGAATTGAGCTTTACAGAAATAATGAAAATCCCAACCTAATGACTCAGTTTATATCACAATACCTACATTTAGAGTCAGTTATTCATTCAGCCTAATGAGAAACTGTAGAACAGACTCAGTTTATATCACAATACCTACATTTAGAGTCAGTTATTCATTCAGCCTAATGAGAAACTGTAGAACAGACTCAGTTTATATCACAATACCTACATTTAGAGTCAGTTATTCATTCAGCCTAATGAGAAACTGTAGAACAGACTCAGTTTATATCACAATACCTACATTTAGAGTCAGTTATTCATTCAGCCTAATGAGAAACTGTAGAACAGACTCAGTTTATATCACAATACCTACATTTAGAGTCGGTTATTCATTCAGCCTAATGAGAAACTGTAGAACAGACTCAGTTTATATCACAATACCTACATTTAGAGTCGGTTATTCATTCAGCCTAATGAGAAACTGTAGAACAGACTCAGTTTATATCACAATATATTTAGATGAAAATATGTGATTTACAGATTTTTGTTGTTGTAGATGAGCAAGTCAACATTTATATGTGTTTGTGTAATTCAGTGGAATGGCCACTAGGGGGCTACAGAAAGACCTAACATGCTAAACTACAGAGCTCTGATAGTCCTTATCAGAACAGGGCTGATTAGAAACAACAATAAATTTACTACTTTTGCAAAAACACACGACAAACACTCCACCTGATCTGTCTGAACAGAGTGACCTTCACACACACACACACACACACACACACACACACACACACACACACACATCAACTCACATTAATAACAGTTTAAGTAACTGAAAACTGGTTAGAGTTTAGGTTTAAGGGGTTAGAGTTTAAGTTAGAGTTTAAGTGGTTAATTAGAGTCTTATGGAATTACAGTTAGAGTTTAAGGGGTTAAAACTGGAGTTTAAGGGGTTAAAACTGGAATTTAAGGGGTTTGAGGGTTTAAGTCTGAATTTAGAGGGTTAGAGTTAGAGTTCAAGGGGGTTGGAGTTTAGGATTAAATGGTTAGTGTTTGAGTTTAAGGGGTTAAGATTACAGATTGGGGTTAAAGTAAGAATTTACAGGTTAAAATTAGATCAGAGTTTTAGATTAAGGGTTAGAGTTTAGAGTTTTTAGAGAATTTTAGAGAATTTGGATAACGATGTAGAGAAGTTTAGAGATTAGAGTTACAGTTTAAGAGATTAGAATTAGAAGTTAAGGGGTTCGAGTTTAGGGTTTAAGGGGTTAGTGTTAGAGTTTAAGGGATTAGAGTTAGAGTTTAAGGGATTAGAGTTAGAGTTTAAGGGTTCGAGTTTAGGGTTTAAGGGGTTAGTGTTAGAGTTTTAGAGATTAGAGTTAGAGTTTAAGGGGTTAGTGTTAGAGTTTAAGGGATTAGAGTTAGAGTTTAAGGGTTCGAGTTTAGGGTTTAAGGGGTTAGTGTTAGAGTTTTAGAGATTAGAGTTAGAGTTTAAGGGGTTAGTGTTAGAGTTTTAGGGTTTAAGGGTAGAGTTAGGTTTAGGGTTCGAGTTTAGGGTTTAAGGGGTTAGTGTTAGAGTTTTAGAGATTAGAGTTAGACTTTCAGGGTTAAAATAGCGTCAGAGATCTCTTACCTCTCGATGTCCGTCAGTCTGGATGAATCTCTGAAGCCTTTAGCGAAGGGGTTACTGTCGATCTTCAGTTTAGTAATCTGCAAAACAAAGACATAAAAGAGAACTTCAGCCTGAATCACTCGTCCCTCCATCCCTCCATCCCCCCTCCTCCCCTCCTCCCCTCCATCCCTCCATCCCCCCTTCCTCCCCAACGCTGTAATCTTCCCAGACTAAACAGCAGACGGAGACGCAGCCGCTCAGGTCCTCCTACATGGAGACGCTCTGAGCGCTCTGAGATTATTCACCAGGACGCACGACTGCAGTCTGACAAATATTTAACAGAGGCGTTTTAAAGCGATAGTTCAGTGAATGAAAAATTAACCCCACCATCACCACCACCTCAGATACATCAGCCAGGACGTGTTCAACATCTTAAGTCTGAAGTTTGAGCTAATCAAAGCTATACCACCAATTAGCATGATGCTAACTGCACGCCTGAAACATCACACATGAGCCTCAGACCTGCTGGTGAAGTCGGCCTTGTGTTCACCAGCTTCTCAACTGCTGCACCGTTTAAGGTGGAACCGGAGATTCGGATAAGGATCCGGACAGAACAGCGCTGTGTGTTTGTTTGTTGTTTGTTTGTTGTTTGTCTGTTAGGAGTTCCTCACCAGCTGGTTCTGGTAGGCGGTGACGGCGGTGAACTGAGTCTCGGTGAAGACGAAGGAGCGGAACTCGTCTGATTTGAGGTTGAGCAGAGACGCCGTGTGTTCCTTCTTCTTTATGATGTGAACGCGAGGCTGATACTTATGCATCGAGTTCAGGATGATCTGAGGAGACATCAATCACAATAACGGCAAACTTTAATATCATCTAATAGCAGTAATAAATAATAATTATAATAAAGTATTATTTTAGAAAAGATTTTCCTGAAGCTCAGATAAACTTTAAAGTGTGAAATATTTCGGACAGAAATAAATTCGGATTAATGTGATCTTCTCTAATCGTCAGCGTATCTGAGCTTTGAGAATAAACTCTGATTATCATTCAGATGCAGAGTAAACAGAGGTGGAGCTCCTACATGTCCGTGCTGGTCCAGTTCGTTGTTGGTAAGTTTGACCTTCTCAAATGAAACCATCTGTTTCAGCAGCTGCTCTCCAGTGAAGGGCGAGTCGGGATGGACATACAGGCTGAAACACAGAGCAAATACACATCAACACACAGAGGACCTCGGGTGTGTGTGTGTGAGTGTGTGTGTGTGAGTGTGTGTATGTTTGTGTTTGGTTTGAGTGTGTGTGTATGTGTGTGTGTGTGTGTGTGTGAGTATGTGTATGTGTGTGTGTGTGAGTGTGTGTATTTGTGTGTTTAGTATGAGTGTGTGTGTATATGTGTATGTGTGTGTTTGGTATGAGTGTGTGTGTGTGTATGTGTGTGTGTGTGAGTATGTGTATGTGTGTGTTTGGTATGAGTGTGTGTGTGTATGTGTGTGTTTGGTATGAGTGTGTGTGTGTGTGTGTGTGTGTGTGTGTGAGTATGTGTATGTGTGTGTTTGGTATGAGTGTGTGTGTGTGTGTATGTGTGTGTATGTGTGTGTGTGTGAGTATGTGTATGTGTGTGTTTGGTATGAGTGTGTGTGTGTGTGTGTGTGTGTGTGAGTATGTGTGTGTGTGTGAGTATGTGTATGTGTGTGTTTGGTATGAGTGTGTGTGTGTATGTGTGTGTTTGGTATGAGTGTATGTGTGTGAGTATGTGTATGTGTGTGTTTGGTATGAGTGTGTGTGAGTATGTGTATGTGTGTGTTTGGTATGAGTGTGTGTGTATGTGTGTGTGGGTATGTGTGTGTGTGTGTTTGGTGTGAGTGTGGTGTGAGTATGTGTATGTGTGTGTTTGGTATGAGTGTGTATGTGTGTGTGTGAGTGTGTGTATATGCGTATGTGTATGTCTGTGTTTGGTGTGTGTGTGTGTGTGAGGGTGTGTTTGGTATGAGTGTGTATGTGTGTGTGTGAGTGTGTCTATATGTGCGTGCGTGTATGTGTGTGTTTGGTATGAGTGTGTATGTGTGTGTGTGAGTGTGTGTATATGCGTGTGTGTATGTGTGTGTTTGGTGTGTGTGTGTGTGTGTGTGTGTGTGAGGTTGTGTTTGGTATGAGTGTGTGTGTGTGTGTGTGAGTGTGTCTATATGTGCGTGTGTGTATGTGTGTGTTTGGTATGAGTGCGTGTGTGTGTGTGTGAGGGGGTGTGTGTGTGTGAGGTTGTGTTTGGTATGAGTGTGTGTGTGTGTGTGTGAGTGTGTCTATATGTGCGTGTGTGTATGTGTGTGTTTGGTATGAGTGTGTGTGTGTGTGTGAGGGGGTGTGTGTGTGAGGTTGTGTTTGGTATGAGTGTGTGTGTCAGTACCGTGCAGGCAGTGGAGGGTCAGCTTTTCCTGCCACCAGCCAGGACGAGCGATGGTAGGCGTATCTGTAGCGCTTGTTGTCCATAGCGATGATGTCCATCAGAACGATGTACCTGCAGTCCGGCTCCACCCCACTGAACGACACACGGATAGTGGGGAACATCCTCCTACACACACACACACACACACACACACACACACACACAGAGAAGAGTAAATACACACATAAGTTAATGCACATACACACGAGTCAATACACACACAGAGGAGTTAATACACACACACACACACACACATACACACACAGAGAAGAGTAAATACACACACACACACACATACACACACACACACACAAGAGTCAATACACACACACACACAGAAGAGTAAATACACACACACACACACACAGAGAAGAGTAAATACACACATAAGTTAATGCACATACACACAAGAGTCAATACACACACAGAGGAGTTAATACATACACACACACAGGAGTTAATACACACACACATACACACACAGAGGAGTTAATACACACACACACACACACACACACACACAGAGGAGTTAATACACACACACATACACACACACAGGAGTTAATACACACACACATACACACACAGAGGAGTTAATACACACACACACACACACACACACACACACAGGAGTTAATACACACACACAAATACACCCACACAGAAGAGTAAATACACACACAAACACAGAGAAGAGTAAATACACACACGAGTTAAAACACATACACACAAGGGTCAATACACACAAACACACACAGAGGAGTTAATACACACACGAGTTAAAACACATACACACAAGGGTCAATACACACAAACACACACAGAGGAGTTAATACACACACGAGTTAAAACACATACACACAAGGGTCAATACACACAAACACACACAGAGGAGTTAATACACACACAAATACACACACACAGAAGAGTAAATACACACACACGAGTTAATACACATACACACAAGAGTTAATGCACACACACACACACACACAGAGAGGGGTTAATACACACACACACACACACACAGAGGAGTTAATGCACACACACACACAGAGGAGTTAATGCACACACACACACACACAGAGGAGTTAATGCACACACACACACACACAGAGGGGTTAATACACACACACACACACACACAGAGGAGTTAATGCACACACACACACACAGAGGAGTTAATGCACACACACACACACACACAGAGGAGTTAATGCACACACACACACACAGAAGAGTAAATACACACACTAGTTAATACACATACACACAAGAGTCAATACACACACAAACACACACACAGAGGAGTTAATACACACACACACACAGAGAAGTTAATACACACACAAACAGAGAAGAGTAAATACACACACACATGAGTTAATACACATACACACAAGAGTCAGTACACACACACACACACACACAGAAGAGTAAATACACACACACGAGTTAATACACATACACACGTCAATACACACATACACACACAGAGGAGTTAATACACACACACATACACACACACACAGAAGAGTAAATACACACACACACGAGTTAATACAATACACACAAGAGTCAATACACACACACACAGAGGGGTTAATGCACACACTAGTTAATACACACACACAGAAGAGTAAATACACACACGAGTTGATACACACACACATACACACACACAGGAGTAAATACACATACACAACTTAATACACTTACACACAAGAGTCAATACACACACACACACACACACAGAGGAGTTAATACACACACACACACACACACACAGAAGAGTAAATACACACACACAAGTTAATACACATACACACGAGTCAATACACACACACACACAGAGGAGTTAATACACACACAGAGGAGTTAATACACACATACACACGCAGAGGAGTTAATACACACACACAAACACACACAGAACAGTTAATACACACACACACACACACACACACAGAACCGTTAATACACACACACACACACACACACACACAGTTCTGGCCACTCACAACTCAACAACATCCTCACATCATCAAAACATCCCCAAACATCCTCAAAGCATTTCTTTACAGCGTCCTCAACATCCTCACAGCATCAAAACATTCCCACAGCATCGTCACATCCTCCCAACATCCTTTCAACATCCTCCCAACATCCTTTCAACATCCTCCCAACATCCTCCCAACATCCTTTCAACATTCTCAAATTATCCTCATAACATCCTCAACACATCCTTCCAAAATCCTCACAACATCCTCACAGCATCCTTAACACATCCTCAGAACATCATCACAACATCCTCAGAACATCATTAGAACATCATCACATCCTCACAACATCCTCACAACATCCTCAGAACATCACTAGAACATCATCACATCATCCTCAGAACATCATCACATCCTCACAACATCCTCAGAACATCACTAGAACATCATCACATCCTCACAGCATCAAAACATCGTCACAACATCCTCAGATCATCTGATTGGTGCCTTTTGAGCGCCGTCTTAATTAACGTGTAACATTATATGAACATTAACCGAAATAATAAACATCCTCAACGTTCTTTGAACATTAGATTAAAGGGTTTCTGTAAACATCGTTAGAACCCGTGTGAAGGTTCTCTCCCCCTGTCTGTCGGCTGTGTGAAGCTGTAGCTACACAGTAAAAACGGCTCATCAGATCAACCGAATTACCGCATGTAATAATAAACAGTTAAACGAGTTTGATTCAGCTCAGAATCGCAGACTGACTGAGTCTCGGTGTTTCATTAGGCCCAGTACAACTAGTTCATTTACGTGTTACCACAGGAAGTGACGTGCTCTGTTCTGATTCTAAATGGGATCTAAAGGTGTTCTACAGGAACCTAGTGGCCTCTAATGGTCACCATCAAGCCAATTCCCACTAGAGAGGAACACCAGCAGATTTTATTCCCAATGGCTCTAGTGGTCTTTCTCTGTAGGGGGCCGAGCGCCGCGAGCCACACTGCACTGCCCCTCCCCCCAACAATTACGCCACCGTAAACACACACACACACACACACACACACACACACACACACACACACAGACACACGCATATATAATATGTGTATAAATGTATCCGCGCGCTGTACGAAACTATGATTGTGTCTGAATGTGAAAGTGAGTCGCTGATCAGCTTTAATAAAACATTTATAACTGAACTGTTATTGATTATAATGTATTGATCTGATCAGCTGAATCAAATTAATTTTATTGCTGCTTTAATTTTTAAAATGTGCGATATTAATATTCGCTGCTGTTTGAAACTAAACACACCTCATTATTATTATTATTATTATTATTATTATTATTATTATTATTACTACGATCGCTGTGTTATTGTCGGTTATTGACTGGTTGATTGATTGACGGGCTGATTGATCTGACCTCCCGGATTTGGTGATGATCATCTCGGTGCCGAGCTCGTGAAACTTGTCCCACAGTTCTTTGGTCTCGAGGCTGCAGCTGATGTTCTTCATGTCCTCGCTGGGCGCGGCGGGAGCGCGCGGGATCAAAGGCTCTGCGCGCTCGCGGGACTCCGCCAGCTCACGGGATTCCTCCTCATCCGCGCGCTCGCAGGAAGAAGACTGCGCCACGAACTGCTCTGAAAACAAACACAAACACCGTATTATTATTATTATTATTATTATTAAGTGATGATCTGATGTGTAAGAAAGTGTGATATAAAGTCTTTAATGCGCCATAAAAGCTAACCGTTATTTAATGTAACTAATTTTATGTTTAGCTCGCGCGCTTCTCTTAAACTCTGATCTTCATAATTATTATTTATTTATTATTTACAATTTTGATTTCTGTCGAGTTTGAATCAGCGTGTTATTATTTTACGGTCTGATAATAAAGAGTGAATCTGAATATTTACTGTATTTCGTTAAAATTAGCAGAAATTGAAATGATTTCATTTGATTTCGATTTTCATTTATATAAACAATTTTAATTACTGAACTATTACAGTTAATATTATACACGCATTATTATTACTATTATTATTATTATTATTATTATTACTGTACACACAGATAAACACACAGTTGTTTACACTCTGACTCTCACTGTAAAGTTAATCATGAAAATAATCAGTGATATTGTTTTTCTGTATTTCGTTTCAGTTCGTTATTATTATTATTATTATTATTATTATTATTATTATGTTTTTCATTTAAATATTTATTTATTTAAATATTTCTTTATGTTTTGTTTGGTTACATACTTATTGCGGTTATTTTATTGTGTTCAATTATTTTTCTGAGTGTGTGTGTGTGTGTGTGTGTGTGTGTGTGTGTGTGTGTGTGTGAGTGTGTGTGTGTGTGTGTGTGTGTGTGTGAGTGTGTGTGTTGTGGTAGTTAACTGATGTTTTGATTAGGTTGTGTTTGTTATTTCCGGTAGAGCTCTGACATAACACTCATAAAATTGCTTTAATCATCTAAAACACTTTGAAATCAAAGTAATGTAATAATATAATAATCACACACACGCGCACACACACGCACACACGCACACGCACACGCACACACACGCACGCACACACTTCTGATAATCAATCACTAAATGAGCTTTAATGTGTCACCTACTGTCTAATTAATATTCATAATCGGATATTTTAACATTTAATTAGACAAATTAACATCAATCAATATACACTACTGAATAAATACACCACTGAATTAATACACTACTGAATTAATACACTACTGAATTAATATACTACTGAATTAATACACTACTAAATAATACACTACTGAATCAATACTAAATCATACACTACTAAATAATACACTACTGAATCAATACATTACTAAATCATACACTACTAAATTAACACACTACTGACTTAATGCAGTGCTAAAGTGATACAGTGTTGAATTAATGCGCCACTGCATCAATACACTACTAAATAATACACTACTGAATTAATACACTTCTAAACAATACACCACTAAATAAACACACTACTGAATTAATGCAGTGCTAAATTAATACAGTGCTGAATTAATACACTACTGAATTAATACACGACTAAATAATACACTACTGAATTAATACACTACTAAATAATACATTACTGAATTAATACACGACTAAATAATACACTACTAAATTTACACACTACTGAACTAATGCAGTGCTAAAATATTACAGTGCCAAATTTATACATTGCTGAATTAATTCACTGCTGAATTAATACACTACAGAATTAATATACTACAAAATAATACACTGCTGAATTAATACACTGCAAATTAATACACTGCTTAATTAATACACTACCGAATTAATGCACTACTGAATTAATACACGACTAAATAATACACTACTGAATTAATACACTACAAAATTAATATACTAGAAAATGAATCCACTACTGAATAAATACAGTCCCGAATTAATACACTACTGAATAAATACAATCCTGAATTAATACAGGTTTAATACATTACTAAATTAATGCACTACAGAATTAATACACTGCTGAATTAACACCATATACTCAAGTAATACACTACTGTATTAATATGCACTCCTGAATTAATATAGTACTGAATAAACATACACCACTGAAATAAAAGAGTACTGAATTAATACAAACTACTGCATTAATAGACTACTGTATTAATATACACTACTGAAACAATACTGAATATGCACTACTAAATTAATACAATACTGAAATAATACACTACCAAATTAATATACACTACTGAATGAATAACTACTGAATTAATATACACTACTGAATTAACACAGCACTAAATTAACATAAACTACTGAATTAATAGACTACTATATTATTATGTAATACAAAATTCATACACTACTGAATATACATTAGTACATTGATATACACTACCGAATTAATACACTACTGATTTAATACACTGATAAATGTACACATTATGGAATTAATACATACTACTGAATTAATCTATACAGTGTGTCCAGTGTTAATATCAGTACTGTACGTGTTATTTAAGCACTGTATGTGTTAAGTCAGTGCATTATGTGTTTATTGCAGTACAGAATGTTTTAAGATAAGTACTGTAGGTGTTAATATCAGTACTGTAGAGGTTTTTTAAGCATTGTGGGTAAACTACTGAAGTAATACACTACTTTAATTTAATATACTTAATATACACTCCTGAATTAATACAGTACTGAATAATTATACCCCAATGAAGTAATGCATTACTGAATTAAAATAACTACTGAAGTAATCCACCACTGTATTAATATACCCTACTGATATATATATATATATATATATATATATATATATATATATATATATACATATATATATATATGTGTATATAAATATATATATATATATATATATATATATATATATATATATATGCTACTGAATGTATACACAATTGCATTAATAGATGACTGTGTTAATATACAGTACTGAAATAATTCACTACTGAATATATGCTACTACGTTAATACAATACTGAATTATTATACACTCCTGAAGTAATATACTACTGAATTAATACACACTACTGAATTAATAGACTATTGTATCTCTATACACTATGGATTTAATATAAGCTATTGAATTAACACACTACTGAATTAACACACTGACACATGTATACATTATGGAATTAATACACACTACTAAATCTATCCATACAGTATGTCCAGTATTAATGTCAGTACTGTACGTTACTTAAGCGCTGTATGTGTCTGTGTTTTACAGTATGTATTAATCTTAGTATAGTATGTGTTTATTCAGTACTATAGGTGGTAATTTCACTACCGTAGGTGTTTATTTTAGTACTGCAGGTGTTTATTTAGGTATTAATATCAGTACTGTAGGTGTTTATTTAGTACAGTAGGTGTTCATTCAGTACTGTAGATACTCACCCAGCTGGTCTGATGGTGTTCTCTTCTGGTTCCTTGTCCTTCTCCTTGCCGCTGGCCATCAGAGCAGCAATGGAGAAGGCGTTGGCCCTGGAGGACAGCTGGGGCTTCGGGGAGCAGCTGAACTCCATCCTGCCACCGACCACCACCACTGACCACCACCACTAATCACTGTGCACTAATCACCGTCCACTGACCGCCGTCCACTGTCCACTCACAGCACTGTCCACTGTGCGTCCACACACACCTCCAAACGAAACTCCAGTTTGGGCAGATCTACAGTCCTGCAGGACATTATAATTCATCTGTTTTTATTTGTTTACATTTTTCATCAATACATTCTATGATCATAAGATCATAAGAACTCAGAGCAGCAAGATCTGCTGGAGCTCCAACACTGAGAGCTATAAAAACAGACACACACACTCACACACTCAGCCTCACACACACACTCACACACTCACCCTCACACACACACTCACCACTCACCCTCACACACACACTCACCCTCACACACTCACACACACTCACACACACTCACCCTCACACACACACTCACACACTCACCCTCACACACTACTCACACACTCACCCTCACATACACACACTCACCCTCACACACTCACCCTCACATACACACACTCACCCTCACACAACCTCACACCCACACATACACACACACACACACACTCACACACTCACCCTCACACACCCTCACACACACACACACACACACACACTCACCCTCACACACACACACACACACACACTTAAACACTCAAACACTAGAACACTCCTCACTACTGCTGCTGAGCTCACAGGCTGCTGCAGACAGAGAGAGAGAGAGACAGAAAGAGAAAGAGAGACAGAGACAGAGACAGAGAGACAGAGACAGAGAGAGAGAGAGAGACAGCAGATCTGAGTCTGAGCTGCAGGAAATGAAAGAGTGAACATCTCTCTCATTCAGGAGTTTCTGAAGGAATGAAACTCAGTATTAATCTGATATATTACTGATATATTACTAATATTAATCTCTGACATTACTGATATATTACTGATATATTACTAATATTATTGATATTTCACTGATTCAGGACTCCAGTGTTACAGCAGCTCCTCCGACTGAACTGTAGGTCAAAATCACACCATCTGACTCTCTCTATACATTACAGCACTGAGAGTTACAGTAACAAACAGCACTTAGTAATGATACACATTATACATTAATGATAATAATAATAATAATAATAATAAGAATAAGAAGAAGAAGAAGAACAACAACAACAACAACATCAACAACCACAATAAAATATAAGGCTTTTATGCTCTCATCTCAGAAGGTGCTCTGCCGTTCAGAACAGCACTAATAATAATAATAATAATAATAATAATAATATTAGTTACTAGTGATGCTATGATTATTACTGATTATTGATGATAATAATAAACCACTGCTACTTCCAAAATTAATACAAGTGTTAGGTTTACTAAGAGGTTTTAAAATAAACCAATTTTAATACCGCTATTATTCATAATGATAATAATTATTATTTGTACTGTACAATAAAATAGGACTGATGTTGCCATGACTACTGCTAATAATAATGAACTACTGCCAAAAGTAACAATTAATATCAGTGCTACTAAAAAAAACACCACAAGCAATAAAAATAACACTAATAATAATAATAATAATAATAATTGTACCACTACTACTACAAATGGCACTAATAAGAATAACCTAGCGCTACTGTTAATAACAACAACACAATTCGTGCTATTTTTACTTCTATTATCATACAACAAAAATCAACAATACAATACAATACTACTACTACTACTAATAATAATAATTGTATGACTACTATTAGTGTTATTGCTCTAATAAACTACTGCTAATAAAAATATCATTGATGCTTGTATTTCTACTGTTTCCACTACGCACTCATAAAAATGTACAAAATATATTATAATATGATTTCTATTAATAATAATAATAACGCGACATCAACCCCTACTACTACCAATATTAATAACAATAACAATAATATGATTATGTTTATAAGCATAACAGTTCAGACAGAGTTATTCATAGATCACTACTGCTAATAATAATGACATTAATAATGAGATGTGTTTCTAACAGTAATAGTAAAGTAAACTGCTGGCTATAATAATAATAATAATAATAATAATAATAATAATAATAATAATAATAATAACGAGATGTGTTTCTAACAGATCACTGTTTTAAAATAGCTGTAAAAAGGTAAACGGAGTTTGATCTTACCGCTATCTACAATAATAACAATCATAAAAATAATAACGATAATGAAATTTTGTTTATAACGCGTGTATAACAGTTCAGTATGAGTGTTTTATAACAGTTCTATTAAAGCTAACAGTGTTTGGTCTTACCGCTGAGTGTCCGGACTGTCCGCGCGCGCTGTCCGAGCTCCTCCGGGCTGTAGAGCGGATGCTGGGGGTCCCGAGCCCCTCTCCGTGTTCTGCAGTATTATGGGATGTTCCGACGGAGTGTCCGAGAGTGTTTTTGGCAGAGTGAGCTCGCGCCCCTCACTGCCCTTAACTTCAGCCCCCCACCCACTGCCCCTCCGAGCTCAGTCCACCAATCAGGAGCGGCACCCCGCCCCGCCCCGCCCACAACCACCGCGTCACCGCCAACGACACCGTGGTGACGTCACCGCGTCAACCGGAGAAATCCGTCAGAAAGAAAAGGAAAGTCGCACAACAGCTCGCGCGGCTAATCACACAAACACCACAGCGTTACTTAAATACTTATTTATTTATTTATTTATTTGTTTCTTTGTTTATTTATTTATTTATTCATGTTGCTGTGTATGAAGCGGGTAGCGAACACTTTCCCCTGTGTGTGTTTGTGTGTGTACAGTAAACACACTGATGCTGGTGTGAGTCCTGTTTTTTCACTAATATACATTAATGTACAGAACACACACACACACACACACACACACACGCTCAACACTCACACACACACACACACACAGTTGCTGTAATGAGAAAGTGAACAGTAAATAAAGCTTTGCTCTGAGGAATGTGAGAGATGATGACGTCACATGATGAAATAATGAGTAATAATAAGATAATAATAATGCCCAGTTTATGGAGAAAGTGGTGAAAACCGAAAGGAGAGGCTGCCGGATTCAGTATAATCACTGTGAATTTAATTATTTCTAGTTTGAAGATGAACATTAAACCAGATTAAACCAGATTAAATCAGGTGGAGTCTGAAGGAGGGAGTGGAGCTCAAAGAGGCAAAAGATAAAACACTCACATCCTCTATGAGTCCGTCGCCTTTATTTATTTGTTTGTTTGTTCATGTATTTATTTAATTCCGTTATGTTTTCTATTGTAATGCCCAGGTCAGTAGCTGAATATTAATCTCACTGAAGACCAGATTCAGAATTTCATACATATTAATATTCCTGCAGTATTTCAGTTCAGTTCAGTTCTTAATGCTGTTTTAAAAGTATCTTGTTCTATTAAAGTGCTACAGAACAACAGGAAATACTGAATACGATGACAAGGCGCTACTGTCAGAATAATAATAAATACACAGAGGTTGGCCTATTGAAGAAAGTAAGTGAAAGTAAGAAAGTGACCACTACATACTGACCACATACTGACCATCACATACTGACCACATACTGACCACTACACACTGACCAAACACTGACCCCTATACACTGACCACATGCTGACCATTACATACTGACCACTACATATTGACCACATACGGACCATCACATACTGACCCCATACTGACCACTATACACTGACCACATGCTGACCATTACTTACTGACCACTACATATTGACCACATACTGATCATCACATACTGACCACTACATACTGACCACTGCACACTGACTGCATACTGACCACTATACACTGACCACATGCTGACCACTACATACTGACTACTACATACTGACCACATACTGAACACATACTGACCACTACACACTGACCACATACTGACCACATGTTGACCACTGACTACGTACTGACCACTATACACTGACCACATGCTGACCATTACATACTGATTACTACATACTGACTGCCTACTGACCACTGCATATCGACATTACATTCTGACCACTACACACTGATCACATGCTGACCATTATATTCTGATCATTACCTACTGACCACATACTGACCATAACATACTACTATACTAGTGTGTTAGAATAGTATAATCTCTGAGTGTTTTAGTGTGTTTGGAAAGTATAATCTCTGAGTGGGTTAGTGTGTTAGTGTGTTATAATCTCTAAGTGGGTTAGTGTGTTAGAATAGTATAATCCCTGAGCAAGTAAGTGTGTTAGTATTTTAGTGCTTTAGTATACTATAATCTCTGAGAGGGTTATTGTGTGTGTATAGTACAATCTCTGAGTGTTTTAGTGCATTAGTGTAGTATAATCTCTGAGTGGGTTAGTGTGTTAGTATAGTATAATCTCTGAGTGGGTTAGTGTGTTAGTATAGTATAATCTCTGAGTGGGTTAGTGTGTTAGTATAGTATAATCTCTGAGTGGGTTAGTGTGTTAGTATAGTATAATCTCTGAGTGTTTTAGTGTGTTAGTGTAGTATAATCTCTGAGTGTGTTAGTATAGTATAATCTCTGAGTGGGTTAGTGTGTTAGTGTAGTATAATCTCTGAATGTTTTAGTGTGTTAGTATAGTATAATCTCTGAGTGGGTTAGTGTGTTAATGTAGTATAATCTATGAGTGTTTTAGTGTGTTAGTATAGTATAATCTCTGAGTGTGTTAGTGTGTTAGTGTAGTATAATCTCTGAGTGGTGTTAGTGTGTTAGTATAGATATCTGATGGGTTAGTGTTAGTATAGTATAATCTCTGAGTGTTTTAGTGTGTTAGTATAGTTTAATCTCTGAGTGGGTTAGTGTGTTAGTGTAGTATAATCTCTGAGTGTTTTAGTGTGTTTGGAAAGTATAATCTCTGAGTGGGTTAGTGTGTTAGTGTGTTATAATCTCTAAATGGGTTAGTGTGTTAGAATAGTATAATCTCTGAGCAAGTAAGTGTGTTAGTGTTTTAGTGCTTTAGTATACTATAATCTCTGAGAGGGTTATTGTGTGTGTATAGTATAATCTCTGAGCGTTTTAGTGTGTTAGTATAGTATAATCTCTGAGTGAGATAGTCTGTTAGTAGAGTATAATCTTTGAGTGTTTTAGTGTGTTAGTGTAGTGTAATCTCTGAGTGTTTCAGTGTGTTTGTATAGTAGAATTTCTGAGTGGGTTAGTGTGTTAGTGTACTATAATCTCAGAGCAGGTTAGTGTGTTAGTATAGTATAATCTCTGAGTGACTTAGTGTGCAGGTATGGTATAATCTCTGAGTGTTTTAGTATGTTAATACAGTATAATCTCTGAGTGTTTTAGTGTGTTAGTGTAGTATAATCTCTGA